TTTGAATTATCTTTTCTCCTCTTCAGAAAGAAAGGTTGAAAATGTTGATAGTTCCGAAATTTGAGAATCGCCAAGTCAGTTTATAATGGTCGCCAATTTTGCGACTTGTAGAAAATTTTAGGCGTCAATCAAATATTTTAAGCCCCACTGCGACTAAATTAGTCGCCAATTAGAGCCCTGAGGACTAAGGTTTGTTTTTCTTGCTATTAAATGAATGAGTCAACCATTGTTTCGTACATGTTCTCAATAGTTAGATAGATGAATATGAGAGAGAGAGAGAAATTTTCACGGTATGGAAAAATCATAATTGCTCCCTTTTCCTTAAGACAAATGCGATACTCTGTCACATTTCGACCCCTACATCTACCGTATTCTGAATTCTATTGTCTCTATATTTTTTTGAAGATTTTTTCTTTTGAAAGGGGAAAAAAATCATGAAATTCAATTGATTTCTTTGACTACTTTAATTAACTAAGTAGAAAATTAACTAAAGTAGTCAAAGAAATCAATTGAATTTCATGATTTTTCCCCTTTCAAAAAAAAATCTCTAAAAAAATATAGAGACAATAGAATTCAGAATATTATGGTAAAAAAAAATACAATTTGAAAAAAGTTGATGACCCCCATGCAATTCCCCAAACTGACGTTCTGCACGTCTAGTTGACTAGTGTCAGGTGCAGGACTAACCCTCAAATCACAAGCAACTATGGTGTCCATAAGATTCTTAAATTTCTGTAACACAAAAATGGCCCACACACAGTTTATCACATCCCACCCCGACCCTTATCAAATGAAAATGATCTGATTGACACAGCATTAGGTTTTAAGTAAACTCTGTGTCTAGTTAGATTCTTCTCTCTGATACAGCTATGGCTCACACCAGAATTCCAACATTTTTCTCCTTGTGACCTTGTCTAAATAATACCTGATAAAAGTCATAACACAAAATATTTTCTCTGGAGACTGTGTTCAAGTAATACCAGGTCAAGGTCATGACAAACCCATGGTCATGTCCATCTCTGTGTAAGATATAAGCAGAAGCCATATAAATGCTTTTTTCAAAGTTATGGCCATGACATGGCAATCCCTCCTCATAACATAAACAGACAGACAAGGCAATTCCTATATACCAGGGCCAAGCTTAAAAAATTCTTGGTTTGCAGTTGTCAACCTAAATTTTTAGAATGGGCGGTATTTTTTTTATTTTTCTAAAAAAATGTAGTTTTCAAATATGTTTTAACTAACAAAAATAGGCTTACTTAACATAAGCTCCTCTTGTTATAAGTCGCTGATTGATAATACCAAAAATCGAAAATGAAACATGCAGTTTCACTATCCTGAAAGCTTGAAGCTTAAAAAAAATAATACAAAATAGCTGGAAAAAGTTTGGGTCAGGTGCATTTTCAGTGGGTCACTAGGCAGCTGAAAAAAATTATTTTAGGCCCAGGCTCTTCATTTGAAGGGGTAAGATAACACTGATAAGGTAACACTTTTATCAGTTAAAGATTATGTATTTATTTCTCAAAGTGAGGAAAACACACATAATAGTATTCACAATCAAGTACTTTACAACAGTGACCCACAAACACGAACAGACAAATATCTATATCATATATTTAAACTGATACTGATCCAAAAACCATAATCAGACACATTCTAATACAAAAAATCTTAAAACAGTGAATCACATTCTATGAAAGTAATGATTACTCAGTGATCAAGAAACCATAAACACATGCATAATTGAACTGCCATAACCAAACTTCTACAATGTTTTGAACAAACATTCTATGACAGTGACCCACAATCCATGAACAGACACATACATGTATATATGACAGTGTTCAACAAAGCATGAACATTTTCATATATATGTATGCATATACACAAATGTCTTTACTCAAAGGCACAAAAAGTCATGAACAAAATAAAGGAAAAATGTTAGAACAAACAATCTATGACAGTGACCCACAACCCATGAACAGACACAAACACTTATATATGACAGTGATCAACAAACCATGAACATTTTCATATATATGTATTCATGTACACAACTGTCTTAACTCAAAGACACAAAAAAAAGTCATGAACAAACTACAGGCAAAAAATGAGAACAAACAACCTACGACAATGACCTACAATCCATGATAGAACAAACAATATATTACAGTGACCCACAATCCATGAACAGACTCATACATGTATATATATGACAGTGATCCACAAACTATGAACTTTTCATATATGTATGTATATTCACAAATGTCTTTACTCGAGGACACAAAAAGTCATGAACAAACTACAGGAAAAATGATAGAACAAACAATATATGACAGTGACCCACAATCCATGAACAGACACAAACACTTATATATGACAGTGATCAACAAACCATAAACATTTTTATATATATGTATGCATATACACAAATGTCTTTACTCAAAGGCACAAAAAGTCATGAACAAAATAAAGGAAAAATGTTAGAACAAACAATCTATGACAGTGACCCACAAACCATGAACAGACACATACATGTATATATGACAGTGTTCAACAAAGCATGAACATTTTCATATATATGTATTCATGTACACAACTGTCTTAACTCAAAGACACAAAAAAGTCATGAACAAACTACAGGCAAAATATTAGGACAACCTATGACAATGACCTACAATCCATGATAGAACAAACAATCTATGACAGTGACCCACAATCCATGAACAGACACATACATGTATATATATGACAGTGATCCCCAAACTATGAACATTTTCATATATGTATGCATATACACAAATGTCTTTACTCGGGGACACAAAAAGTCATGAACAAACTACAGGAAAAATGATGGAACAAACAATATATGACAGTGACCCACAATCCATGAACAGACACAAACACTTATATATATATATGACAGTGATCCACTAACCATGAACATTTTCATATATATGTATGCATGTACACAACTGTCTTAACTCAATGACACAAAAAAGTCATGAACAAACTACAGGTAAAATATTACAACAAACATTCTATGACAGTGACCCATAACCCATGAACAGACACATACATGTATATATGACAGTGAACAACAAACCATGAACATTTTTATATATATGTATGCATATACACAAATGTCTTAACTCAAAGACACAAAAAGTCATGAACAAACTACAGGAAAAATGTTAGAACAAACAATCTATGACAGTGACCCACAAACCATGAACAGACACAAACACTTATATATGACAGTGATCAACAAACCATGAACATTTTCATATATATGTATGCATGTACACAACTGTCTTAACCCAAAGACACAAAAAGGTCATGAACAAACTACAGGCAAAATATTAGAACAAACAACCTATGACAATGACCTACAATCCATGATAGAACAAACAATCTATGACAGTGACCCACAATCCATGAACAGACACATACATGTATATATATGACAGTGATCCACAAACTATGAACATTTTTATATATATGTATGCCTATACACAAATGTCTTAACTCAAAGACACAAAAAGTCATGAACAAACTACAGGAAAAATGTAAGAACAAACAATATATGACAGTGACCCACAACCCATGAACAGACACAAACACTTATTTACATGACAGTGATCAACAAACCATGAACATTTTCATATATATGTATGCATATACACAAATGTCTATACACAAAGACATAAAAAAGTCATGAACAAACTACAGGAAAAATGCAAGAACAAACAATCTATGACAGTGACCCACAATCCACCATGAACAGACACATGCATGTAAATATGACAGTAATCCACAAACCACATATACATGTATGCATATACACAAATGATACAAAAATACATAAACAAACTACAGAAAAAAAATTGTAAAATGTTAGAACAATAAATAACCGTGACCCACAATCCAAGAGGTTGAACCGATATGACAATGACCCACAAACTATACACAAACTATGGGAAAACCAATATACCAATATATAGAAATATTTACCTCCTGGAGAATATTGATATACAATTCAAGCTTTGATACTATAATTAACAAGCATTTTGACAATCTAAAAATAAATTATTAAATTTTAGAACTAAGATTTGATTTTATTAACTTTGTTAGTGTAAAAATCCTTCAAAAAATCACACAAAATACGACATCTGATGTACAGGTTCTAGACAGACATTACTTGAAAAATTGATGTCACTTTATAATTCTTTTTTTCCTATAGAATAGATATATATTTTATCACCTCTGGCTTGTGAACATGACTGTTTAGTCTTTATTTATCATTTATTGCATAAATATTTACATTTCCAATGTCTTTGTCCGAGATAAAATTACAAATTGTAAAAATACTTTATTTCTACATAAATCTACTAGTTCATCGATAGGCGCGGTTAAAAAAAAATCACGTGCGGGGCGGGACAAATAGAGACAGAAGCGGGGCTATTAGCATGGGAATTTGGGAGCATGTAAATATAAGGAATAACTATCAGATTTTTTGGATTCATGACGATGATCAATCGATTGGCTTGCGTGATAATTTTATGCATAAACGCCTTTGGCGTTTATGCAAATTATCACGCAAGCCACTCGATTGATCACATCATGAATCCAAAAAATAAGACAGTTAGCTTTAAATGAGTTTTAATAAAACATAATTTCACCACGCGAATTTAATTTCTTGTTCGTCGCACATCTGGTGAAAAAAGTAAGAGCGGGCAAGAGATTAAATAATAATATTATTACTTTTTTGTACGCAAAATTTTTAGGCATAACATGAAAAAAATTGAGTGACAATTATATTTTTTCTACTTTTTTCTGATTTGTAGAGTAAACAGATTTAAATTATCAAAAATAGAGCGGAAATAAAACAGAAACTGGCACAGAATTTCCCAGGTGCAAGAGATTTAAATTAATATTATTTGTATAGCTTTGTTCAAATAAGAGCGTGCGGGTCCAACAAGCAAAACATTAAATTGGAATGGCCTTTGTATTTGATTTTATTTATGAAAATTGATAATGGCACATGTCACATATTCACATCAAAACTTATCACATTATCACTTTTGGAATTGCAAAGCAGTGTATCAACAGACTTTTCATATTTGAAACTAATTATTTTTTTTTCTGCATAATAAAGCATAATTCAAAATGTACCGGTAGTATTTTCAGATTAAGATGGACTTAACTGTAGAAAAAGACAGTTTTATATTCAGTCCACATATCAGCTTCAGAGCAAATAATTAACCACACACACATGAACACCATTAGGGTCTTGGCTTATCTGCGGAAAAAGTTTATATTCTGCAAAATGGTCTTCACTGGTTTGTGGAACATGTGCAAGTTTTCCATCAGGGTCTGCCTCAATAATCCACTCTAAGGAACATGCAAAGAAGAACTGACAATGTAATATAAGTTATGCTACAAGTCTTGTATTGAAATTTCCTCCTATATTTCAGAAGAGTTACACATACCTGTACTAAATTGCCTAAGCTGTTGAACATGTGAATTTACAAGGTCCTGACTAGTCTGCACAATCTGTGGAACATGTAGAAATGCTGCAACAGGGTTTGCCTCCAAAATGCTTCCTATAATATATGTGCAAAACAAAATTAATTGTGATTATATTTATGCCTACAACTACATTCAGATACCTTTAATGTAAGCTATTTCGATGCATTTTGAATAGAAATTTAACATGCTATTAAATAAATGTTTTTAACATAAAATAAATTAATAAAAAGTATCAAATAAACTAATTGTTTTTTTATATAACACTAAACAGCAAGGGCAATGGTCACCCAGGTGTAAATTGTACAATCAACTGAGAAGTCCTATTAGGTAGACCCTAATTGTAAGGACCATTATGACAATTTATCAAAGGATCTTGGATCAGGCTAAACAAGAAATATACTAAACTTCAAAGTTCGCAGAAATGTTCTTTCTATAAATATCTACTTGATGGGTTTTACCTACCATATTATTTAAGAAATTCAATTCTGACTAAGTTTCAAAAATGTATATCAAAGTTAAGATTATCTTCACACCTTTTAGCTATTGAAACTGGATATAATAAAGCAAACAGATCCCACTGGAAATGTTTTTTTGTGTCATACTTGTGTCGAGGATGAATATCACTTTCTACTAGTATGTCCTGTTTATCGAGATTATCAATGCAAATTATTTCTTTTTAAAAAAAACATCCATACGTATAAATTACTGCAATTGTTCAATACTAAGAACTTTAAGGATATGTGTAACCTAGGTATTACAAATATATTTATTATAGCATGAGGCAAAGAGGTGATCCTGTACATATAATCAAATATCAGCTGTCTCATTTAAAGTCATCATTTTGTAAGTTCTATGGTCGATACAATGACCTTGTCAGCAAATACAATTTATCATTGAGTCAAATGCTGACTGACGTTTTTCATACTAATTGTTAGACCATTATTTACACACTGAATTGTCGACGGATTTTTCCGTTATTTCCCAATCATGACAAGGAGCACACGGCGGGTGTGACCGGTCTGCAGGGGATGCTCACTCCTCCATGGCACCTGATCCCACCTCTGATGTTTGGAGGTCCGTGTTTGCTCTGCTCCTATTTTGTATTGTATAATGGACTTTTGAGCTTGAATACTGTTCATTATCTCCATATATTTCATATCAAGGTGATCTTGTAATCCAATAATAATAATCACTCTAACCTTGTCTTAGAGGTATTATTTTCAATAATTTACTTTATTTAGGCCAAAAAAAAATAATAGTCTTGTTTTTTTTAAATTTTGGAAGAAAAAAATCTCGAATTTCCGGAATTTCATCGTTCTGTCAATATAATCGTTTTCTGTGTTAACACAAAACAAGCATTTCATGAAATTCTTGTTTTAAATGTGGACTTTCATAGAATACCACTTGAGTTTAGTCAAAAGACATGAAATTTGATTTTAAAAGACAATATTGACCTGTGACATGTTTAATTTTATCTTTTATTAGTTCATATCCAAAAAATGTTGTCGAAAAAAAAAATAAAATGAAAATATACAATAAAATAATTTTCCTACCTACCTACCCTATTTCTTTTTTCAGGCTGGTAGCAGGAAACAAGACTATTTTTTTGGTCTTATCTAAAATATGGATCACAAAAAGATGTTGTTTTTTCCCCATCAATTTAATTAATTCATCATTTTCACCAATTGCTATTTTCCTATTCTTGGAAAAAAAGTTCATGTATATAGTTTTTGCCCTGTGCATCCATCTGTCTGTTTGTCCGCAAAAAAAATCATTAATCATCAAGTCGTAATGTTATGACAGCATGCTTTAATAGTGACTACTTATACAGTTCGATGGAACCACGGACCTATACTATACGTCCCTGACAGAATGGCATCCAAACGTCATAAACTTTTTAGAACCTGACCTTGTTATTGAAACATTTGGTCAATTGCTTGCATATTACAACTAATTAAGTGTTTTGGCAGCATTAATAATGACTGTTTAATGGGTTAGGTACGTACTATGTAATAATAAGTAACCATGACAAACAGCTGGCAAAGTCCTGTCTCAGTAAGTGTCAAACTTGGTATTTTCTTTTGAATAAATTTTAATTCTAGGATCAGTCTTCTTGTGTTCCTCTGTGTACTGTACAACCATAAGGGTGGTTGTACTAATAAAAATATTTCCTTAAACCTAGCAAATTGTTTATAGTCACAGTAATACCTTACATCTTTGATTTAGTAAAGACATAAAACATACAGGGTGTTAGTTCCTTGTTTTACTAGTGTTATTCACAAAATATTTTCATTATGGCAAGTGAAATATTCTGAAATGGTGGCCAAAATTTTTTTTAGGTCCTCATTTAGTGACCTGAAAGTAAGTGTGACTTGGAACACTGTTGGGTAAAACATTTTTCATCTCTTGACCTCTCAAGAACATTGAAAAAAAAAAAATGCACTACAAAGAGGATGCAACGTATCAAATTTGAAAATCCATTATTCTAAATATTTACCTGATGAGTGATGAACTCCAAGGAAGATTGTCCATTGGGCATGGGATCACCATAGTCATATCTGATCTCCTTCCCCCTATCACTATCCCTTCTTGCAAAGAAAAAGCCTGGAGTAGTTGTTAAACACTTTTAACTTCTCATAACATGCATAAGATGGGGTTGTCTATAGCTGCATCATTAACCTACTTTCCAAGCCTTTGGAAGCTGTCAGATGCATCAATGCTTGTAAAATGATAATGAAAACCATAAATAAAAAGTTTAAAGTTACATATAAACATAATAACATATATGATGAAATATTAGGACTGCAGGAACAATACAGGTTTTATGCAACAATCACAATATAGTAGTCACAATATATGAATCACAATGTATTTTTCCAAAAATAATTTTTGTTTCATACAATTTGCAAGAGTAATAAAAATCCCTGCCACTGTATGATATTGTTCAATTATCGTACACATTTTAGAGTGCAAGAAAATTATGTTATTCTTTACTCTAAAAAATTGTCATCCTAGTGAGACATGACACTCTGCAATTTGTTGTAAAGATATAAAAATCCAAATAAAAAATATAACGCAGCAAGGTTAAGGATGCCCACAGGAAATAATACGCCTAAAAATATTCCGAGAAAATAAATATAGTGTTGATTTTTTTTTTACAGCATGAGTTTTGATGAATGGGAATTCTACTATTTGCATATGTAGGAGGGTTGTCCCAGAAATACGTGAACATTTTCAATATCTTTTGTTTCACTAATACTGTAAAGTTAAAAATAGGCATAGATCATGATCAACATTTTTGTGAATTTTTTCTGGAAATGTGCTTCTGATAAAATTAGTTTATTTAAGCATAAATTCGGCACAGTATTTAATTTTATTTTATTTACCAAGTAATGCATCTCAAATACGGCATGTGTTGCTAAAAGATTGTGGAATTAATTCTTTCAATAGACAATTTCTCAATTCCGATAATAAACCTAACGGTTCACATTGTTTAACGATGGCCTTGGCTTAGGCTTATGACGTAAAGCTCAGGACTTTCAGTTTGTCTTCATTTCTTTTGGTCTACAAAATGTCTCTTCCAGCACTAATATCTCTTTCATCGTATGGGCAAGAGTCCTATCCCATTTTAAAGACAGTGCTGCTTAATAATTTGTGCTCCAAATTATCACTAAACGTCACCATTTTTAACAATATCTAATTAAAAGTGTTCTGGCATATAACGTCATATATTTGTCATTAATGATATCAAATTAATGAATTTTCATACACAAGTATATCAGCTAGATCAAAGAGTATTTATGGAGGTAAAGTTTGTGACATTATATTTCCGTATAGCCTGGTAATAAAGAAAAATTCATTGACAATGCTACTTTTAAAAGTCAATAAACTGCAGTGTGCAGACCACCGATATTTAACACCCTTTAAATGCCTTTTTTACATATTAATGACATCACAAGCCTAAAATATTTTGTCATAATACTGAAAATATCATTTTCCAACAACTTGCAAAAAATTATTAGTTCTGGTCAAATAGTTTCTGAAATATACAAAAAGTTTGTGTTTTCTGGGACAACCCTCATATATATGAGGTCTTTGCCGAGTTCGGCCAAAGCAACTTTACTTACATCAGCTGTTTGTCAAGTGACATGTTTAAAATTACAAAAAATATGTATGGCTACAAAGATCATAAAGTACAACGATATACGGATATCTTTTCACTATGAAATTAATTTTGTTTTCTTTAAGACAAATTCCTTAACCTGAAAAGTGCTGGGAGCAACTTCCCCATGCCTGAGAATTATGTAAAATTTTTGATAAACTTCCTACATTGACATAATATGCATTGAAATAATGGTAAAATACGGAAAAAAGCAACAGCGCACAACCAGCTCCTGGCACTTTTCAAAGTAGTAGGGATGTTACTACCTTTGTATAATAAAGTGCCCCAGCATGATACGCCCGTCAAATATTGTTCAATTATCACGAACAGTTTAGAGTGCAAGAAAATAAAGTCAACCTTTGATACAAGTTTTCCAAGATTTTTCCATTTCTTACAATTTTTGTTTATACATTTCCTGTGGTGTAGGCATTATAACAAATATTACATTATAGATCCTCAACTGGTAGTGTTAGAGCTTGACAAATGCCCATCTGCACCCCCCCCCCCCCACACACACACACAGTGACACACACACACATCTTTCATATTTGTGAGACATGATGCTCTGAAATTTACTAGTTGATATTTTCAAAAAATTAAATAAAAATATCATATTAAACAAAATCAATTTAGTCTTAACAACTTAATCTATACCAATTTAATTTTAAAATAAAAGACTGGCCATCAAATGACATATGCTATAAACTGACCAGCAGTTCTTCTGTCTAATTCCCAAAGGATACAGATAAGAACTGCTTGATCAGAGATGCTCTAACAGAAATGATTGAGAACAGCTAGCCTTCCTACACTGAACTCATTAATTAATCTTTAACTGGATGCATGTCCACTCATTACTCCCAAGGGATGAATGGATCTGTGCTATCTGCTTTGTAGTGCAATTAAAATGAATATTTATGTCATTCTGAAATTAAATTTGAAAACAAAGATTTTTTTTTTCAATTTGTTACAAAGATTTATAAAAAGAAAAAAAAATTGTAATCTTGATGCAACATTTTTAATAAGGTTTCTGCTTGACTCTTAGATTTGTAGGGACTATCTATTAGTTTATTATACAATATCAAATTAGTTTATTATACAATTATTGTATCAAATTAGTTTTAATTACTTTTCACCAAATTCATTTTAAAAGTTAGGCTAGCCCACAAAAAACTATTTAATCCAACATGGCTGATTCCTCTGCCCAATTCCCAAGAGATATAGATAACACCTGCTTGATCAGAGATGCTCTACCAGTTAGCTCCTCACACTTAACTAATTTCTCGCTAATTTGACATGCAATTTTCTGTTATCAAAATTCTCCTTGACCAGTGCTTGATAATTACACCCATGGGAGAGGTGGAATTTCTCTTGTAACATTATATTTGTTACAGATTGCTGTAAAGTATATAATGAAAAAAATAAGTATTTCTTGATTTTAACATCTTTTTAATAAGGATACTGCAACACTTCTACATTTTTTGGGATTGTGTAATTTAATAGTAAAAAGACAGTTTTTTTTTTTTTTAAATTTCACTTAAATTAAAGGTCACAGTGACCTTGAAATAGGTCGCGACACACCTTCTACCTAAGATGCATAAACTGGCCAAATTTGATGATTATAAGTCTAATAGTTTTCTAGTTATGAGCCAGACAGGATTTTTCCATATTTGGCCATAGCATCTTAATTAAAGGTCAGAACGACCTACTTTTAGTGCGTGACACACCTTCTACCAAAGAAGTATCAGCTGACAAAGTTTGATAATCCTAGGCCTAATAGTATTAAAGTTATGAGCCGGACACGAGAAAGGCTAACAGACAGACAGACAGACGGACATGAACGCCATAACATAATACGTTCCGTCTAAAGACGGGCGTATAAAAATTCATAAATTATAGTGAAGCAGATATCGTTGAACTTTTGAGATTTTCGAGGGGCTGTGCCTGTTATTCTAGATTGTTAATGTATAAATGTGCCTTACTCTGGCTTTATATGAGGTCTACACATTTTCAATTTAAGGCCTAAAAAAAAATAAGTTTGTTTCCTGTAACCCGACCGACCCATTCAAATTATCCCCTGGCGGATTTTTTTTTTCTGCCAAATCTGCATTTGCTCTTTGGTTCGATGGATCAGCTGATTCCATTTATTCAAAAAATATTAATTGTAGCTTTATTTGAGATATAAAATATGTCATCCTAGTCAACATTTACCTTGAATATAAAGAGTAATCATTATTGTAACAACAATTTCCACCCACAACTTTTAGAATTTCGTTCTCTGCCGCTAAGCAGCCATTTTGGGTGTCCACTTTAAATATAACACCTGGTTAATTCAGTCTGGGGATGTTTGACCCTTTTATCCATAAGCAAAAAAAAAAAAAAAAAAAAAAAAAATCCCGACCTACCGACCCTTGATTTTTTGGGAATGTTACAGGAAGCAAACAATTTTTTTTAGGCCTAATTAGACTATAAAATATTGATTAATACATTCAAAAATATGACTTAGTTTTGGTCAGATCACACTTATTTTAATTTGATATTTACAAGCTACAATAATAGCTTGATCTATGCCTCAAGTACAGAGAAACTGTCTGTCAAACTAGGGTGTGACGTCATCTTAGTCAGTGCAGGAAGGTCAAGATGGCTTAAATTCTACATTCAAATAGTGTTATTATGACATGATAAGTTACACATCAATTTATGTTTACAATATTTATCATGTTATGAGAAAAGACTGTATTTGAGTGTGTATGAAAAAGAAAACATTAGTATTTAGGATTTATTTGTTCAGTTTCATTGTGACGTCATAATCGATTTCCAGAAGCTCTGCATATAGGCTGATGTAAGTATGGGAGTCCTAAACCTAGCTGCGTATACAATATATATATATATTTTTATATAATTAGTTTTGATTACTTGTTAAATATACAATATCAAATTAGTTTTAATTATATTATATACTAAAAGATTAGTTTTATTTACTTTACAACAAATTTATCTTGAAAGTTAGACTAGACAAGAAAGTCGACTTTTGCACTCGGCGAGCAGAGTTTTGACACTGTTTACGGAAATAAAAGAAAATTAATAAATAAGACAAACATGTCATAGATAGTTGTGTAGATAAATTATCGTAGAGGACAATGGTAATAAACAGTTTGCCAGTGCATTTCCTCTGAAAGTGTAAATAAGTTCAATTTTGGGGAAGGGGGGGGGGTACTCAATGTAATATGGAGTTGGATACCTTGTGTTATCATCATACTATGGGTTGAAAAATTTATTACCAAAACAAGTGCCTGTAATACCAGCTGTTAAAAATCAGTATGGGCCACTACCATTTTAGAACTAGTAGCCTCTTCAGCGACCAGTTTTAAAGGCTGATATTTTTAACCGAACAGTTTTCTCTGGTGAGGGGAGGGACTAAGATTTTCCCAGAGGCTGATCGTGTATGGTGTTAATACCTATACACACACAGTATACACAGGAAGTCCTTGTTACCTGTGGGAACTTTTATACATATATTTCTAAAAGATGATAAATTTTTTAATTGTAAGCTAGCTTAT